GGGGGGGGGGCTGAGGTGACGGGCAGGGCAAAGCGATGGTTGCGCGTGCAGGCGGGGTGGACGGTGGACGGGACGGCGCCCTAGGAGACATTGGCAGCTCTATTCAGCCAGGCGATGGTGGCGGCAGCCGTGACCGAACTACACGGCAGCTCAATGGGGTGCGCACTCTACAGCAGCGCCCAGAGGTGCGGAAGAGAAGAGAGGGGTAAAAGACGGGGTACATAAGGCAGCCTCCACCCCCGATCCCTCGCTGCTCGCGAACCCGCCCATAGGAAGGTGAAGCAGGTTTTCACTCCAGCTGGAATCGGGCAAGACGACGACGAGAACGACGACGACGACGAATCCGCAGCGCGCACAAAGCGGTTCCCGACCCGTGCCGCGCCACGAAAGCGCAGCATCAGCAGGGGGCGGAAAGCGGGTAGGGTAGGAGGTGGGGGGGGGGGAGATTCCCGTGCCTCCCACCTCCACCCCTCTGAAAGTGAGTGACCGACATTTCCCCGCCGCCTGCGAAATGAATGGCACGGGGTGGGGGTCTTTTCCTCCTGTGCCCCTCTCCTCTCTCTCTCTCTCTCTCTCTCTCTCTCCCTCTCCTTCTCTCTCCCTCTCGCTCTCTGTCTCTCCCTCTACTAAATTATCATGCCGACAGGCGGGGGCGCGCGCTTTGCAGTGTTGAGCGGCCCCGTGTCAGGCGGGTCCTTGCAGAGCCTTAGTGACTTGTCAGTGATCGGTGGAAGCAGGCAACAGGGGAGCGGGCGCAAAGGCGCGCGCTCCGCCTCCTCCTCCGCCTCTCTTGGAAACTCCCGGGCCTCTATTGGAGCCTTTCCTCTTCTCCGTCTGCTGCATCTCAATCAGAAGAGAAACGCGACGCTCGACCCGGTGGTATTATGCCCAAAGTCGAACCGATATACCCTCTAGAAGTTTGAGGGAATGAATCTGTTTTGTGTGTGTGTGCGCGCGTGCGAAATATTCTTAACCAGCGGAACCGAAAAGTCGGAAATTTTTGCGCCCCATCCTTCTTCTTTTTCCTTGGATGTCCTGAATCCCCTTGTCCTAACATTTGCCAGCAGGTGGTTCCTCTCTTCTCCCTTTGCCGTGCTCAGTGCCAAGAGAAGGGCGGGAGAGAGAGAGAGAGAGAGGGCGCGAAAACGGGGGGTGGGAGGAGGGTGAGAGAAAGAGCAGGAGATAGGGGAAGGCCAGGAGAAGGGCGTGTGTGTGTGTGTGTGTGTGTGTGTGCCTTGGCTCGCACATGGGGCTGACCGCACAGGGAGCTCAAGCTTAATGAACTGCCAATAATGTGTCTCATTAAGTCCAGCTGTGTTGCTCCCTCGGCCCCGTGCCGCCGCGCCCCTCCAGGCGAGCCCGACCAGGGTATGAATTCCCACGGCAGATCCCCGTGCTGCCGCTGACCGCGGCGAACGCGTCTTTGCTAACGATCACGCGGACAGCTTTAGCGTGCGAGACTGCAACACACACAGCAAAGTCCAAATACACACAAAAGATTACTGGGGAAAATGTGGGAACACTGTGAAAAATAACTTCGTAAATTTACGACATTTGTTGAAATTGTGATTTACAAAATATGTCGTTAATTTGCGTCCATTCCAATTCGATAGAATGCTTGTAAATTTACAATTTCAAGTTGTAGTTTTACGACTTTTTTATCATGGAAAATTTTTCCGTAACACTTACGAGTATTTTTCACAGTGAATGTCACAGATGTTGCCGGGGACCCAAAGGGAGATAAAACACACCTTTTGCAGGAGCACTACAAGACATTTTGAGTTTTATAATGCACTAGCAGCTCCAAGGTAATTATAGCCTTAAGCAAATTTGATCACTTTGTGATGGAGCTTACTTAACCTTTAACTTTTGGTGTGCGACGGGGCAAGTGAAAAAAGTTTAAGTTCCGAAAAAAAATCTTATCATACTACTTAAAGTTAAAAAAAATGAAGTGCAACATGACGCGAAGCAAAGCTGCGCGAGTGAAACGAAGTCCGATTACGCCTCAATTATGTCCGTAATTACCTACACATGGCTCTGTTCCAGCCTAGACCTCCTGGCCACGGCCAGCCTTGACAGGTAAGGAAAGGCTTTCATCTATTACCGTCAGCAGCACGGCACGGGTTCCTGGAATGCCTCTTAGGACCTCTTCACTTGCCCCCCGCCCCACTCCGCGTCACCCTGCTCTGCCCGCACAGCTCGGCCGCCCTCTCTCTCCACTACGTGATGGTGCATACGTGTATA